TTGTTTGTTTTTTTTTTTTTTTTTTTTTTTTTTTTTTTTTTTTTTTTTACCGTAATATTATGCTCTTGGCTCGGGGGACTTAATTAATGTGTCATTGACGTAACTTTTCCAGTACCGAATTGGTAATTTTCTGATACGATCTGAAGTTACGTTCCGGCCCACACTATCCTTACTTTATAAATGAAACTTTACGAGGAAGATTAAAACGAAGGTTTATTGCCGTTGGCACGAAATTTTGATTATCTCAGAAGAAATAACATACTCTTTTAATCTCGATTTTGGTAGAATGTTCAAAGGTCGTTTAACAATTTATTTGATCTTTATAAAGATTTTATTTAGTCATTCGATCTCAAAACTTATATGTCCTTAATATATATTATTTATTGGCGTAAGGTAGTGCCGAACGAGCGTTAATTCGAAAAATAAATGAATTTACGAACGAGAAAGGCCAAAATATTATTACAAACAAAGCCTTATACTCATCTTACGCGTGTCGGACTGATGAAGCGACAAACCCATTGCTTATCGTTTTATTAAATTTTCGATAATTATCTCACCATATTATTGGCTGCAGTGGCCAAGGCATTGCTATTAGCGTGATAACTTCTGAGTATATTTTGGCGAACGGTCTTATTGTAAAGAGTATTGAACTCATTTTGAGAGAGCTGCTCAAGATTCGGCACGGTCTGCTTGAGCTCCGCGTAAACTTGATTGGAAAGTGTTGTGCCGGCGATTGAAGCCGGTCTCGGTAGGGTCGAGGACGCCGAGCCCAACGACTGAATATTTTGGAGATTAAACTGGCTGGGCAGACTCGGGAAGTTCTGCTGGTAGGCGACGGCGACATTCTGGGCGGCGTTCTCGAGATTGCTCGGCGCATGATTTGGCACGCATTGCAGGAGATTGGAGACACTGCCGGCGTATTGTGCACCACCAGTGGAGACGACCTGATGCCACTTTTGAGTAACTATGCCGTCCGTGCACGTGGTCTCGGAGAACGACTGGCTCTGATAGCCCATTTGACTGCTCCTAGGTCGCTGGATGTTGGTGCTTTTGCTCGGCCATGAGTTCTGCACCTTATTGGGGAACTGGAAACTGCCGCGCTGCTCGCCATTGGGCGACTTGGGCTTGGCGGATTGTGGTGGCGGTCGTAGCATCGGTATCACCGTGTTAACGGGTAATTTATTAGTGGTACTGGCCGCGAGCGAGAAGTTCGAGGGGCCGGATGACGTCTGCTGCTGGACTTGTTGAAGTAGTAATTGTTGCTGCTGCTGTTGCTGTAGCTGTTGTTGCTGCTGTTGCTGTAGCTGTTGTTGCTGCTGTTGTTGTTGTTGCTGCTGTTGTTGCTGCTGTTGCTGTTGTTGTTGTTGTTGTTGTTGTTGCTGCTGCTGCTGCTGATGGTGGTGGTGATTATTAGAATTTGTGTTCTTACTGGCCTCCTTCTCGCCCAGGTGTTTCTCAAGCTCCGCGAGAAAGGCTGGGTCGAGTTTCTTGGGCGAGGCCCGATTCTTCGACTCGAGATTCAGTTCGTTCATGCTCTGAGCGATATCGACGTTACTCTTCGGCTTAGTCGGGCTCTCGTTTGGCCCGAGAACAGGCAGAGGTGGTGGCATCGGGACGACGGTGAGACCGCGACTTACAACGTTCGCGTACGTAGCTTGGGAGTCGTCGGACTCGAGGTCGTCCGGCCAATTCTGGAGAATGGGAATAGGGCCCGACGTTCCCGTTTTATCGACCTCGCTATAATGCTCGGCGCTGGAGTAGCCGTTGCTCTCGACGTTCACGTTCACATTGATATTCGTATTCTCGCTTCGGAGCTCCTTGTTGAGATTTAACGTGTGCTGAAGGGAAGACGACGAGACGTTATTCGACTGCGATTGGACGTTGCTGTACTGTTGATGTACCTACGATTGAAATATTGCATATATCATGGGGTGTATTAATGAGGTGGGAAAATTATTGGACCGAAGCGCGAGCAGTTAAAGCATAATTTGGAGTTTTAATCGAGCTTCTCTGATTTATAGTCGAGCGATAAATAAATTTAAATCTAACATTGAAATTGAGTGCGCTAATAATTAGCCCAATGGACCGGAATTTTTAGTATTTTTCTCACTGCCTTATCGCATCCTTCTGTTCAAGATAATAATTTTTACATGTTTGTGAGTAATGATTAGCATTGGACAGATAAGACAGTAGTGAAGTAACGTCCGAGATAAATGAAACGAAAATATTTTAAGACTCTTGATAATTACAGAAATGAAAAACGTTAAAATATTTATTTAAAATGATAAAAGGAAAAAATAACAAAAATAAAATTAAAAGGCTATTTTAAGTCATTGGAAAATTATTGGTTAATTACGAGTGGTAAAAGCAACGCTTGGGAGAACGAAGCATTCGCTTATCTTTTATTTGATATAATTTAAAATTTATTTATTCCTTAAGCTTTAATTACGCGAAACTTTCAAATATCTTTAGATAATGGCTTTGCCAAGTTCACTACTCAAAACTTTCTAAATACTTTTCAATCAATTCGAGGCTGAAAATATTTCACCGTGCAATTAATTATACATGTACGTGCGTTCGTGTTTATTAAATTTACGTAATTTCATGTCAATCAAAGCAATCCGTCCACCTTGCCAATACGATGCAACTAAGGCACATCACCACAATACAATGCAATTTATAATTACATTCACATTAATAAAGGAAAATATTTTTTTTTAAATTCAAATTCGTTTCATTTTTCGTTTGCAGAAATGCATTCATTTTATGCAGCATTTCAATTCCAAATCAGGCATTATAAAATTATCTCAATGATAATAAATAATGTTAAATGTTCATTTAGGCCTTGATAAATTATTAATAATTTTTCTTTTTGAAGATAAACATTGGACTTGATTAAGACTCGAGGATACTCATCGATAATACGTCAGATACAATCAATTACCGGCTGTTGTTGACTCGTAGCCGGTGGAAAGTAGGAGGAATTCGTTGGGAGCTCCGGCGTCACTTGGCTATAATATCGCGACTGCGACGAATTCACAAAGATTCGGGACGTATCGAATGGATCGGACACGGACGAGGCATGAGCGTTGCTATTATCCGGGCAATTGGCGTACGTCCTCGGATCCTCCTCGGACCAATACTCCTGCGATACCGTCTGTACTCGCTCGACGTCGTTCGGCTCGTCGAGGATATTTATCACTCTTCGGCAGGCGGTATTGTTGTCCAGCTGGACAGTCGTTGCATTCGCCAGCTCCTCCGGCGACAGGTCGATCAGAGAACCCTCTTGGCTGCTACTAGCTCCTACGACTGAGAAAGCCCATACAATGTCGCCGTTGTTCTGGCTTTGTTGTTAGCCGCTGATAATGCTTAGCGTTAAAATGCGCGACGTTTTATTGAATTCCGACATAAAATTGGAATAAACGTATGAAATAGACTGATGAGATAATTTTAGCATTGATTTGCCGTCGATTTTAATGTATTAGCAAAATGAAAAAACTACTCCAAGACTATTTACACTTTGTAGAGATGTGTCTAGTGTATAATTTAGCAGCTCGTAGCTCGTTAGAGTGCGGTGGGTAAGATAAGATTATAGTCGATTTAATATATCATACGTAAGAAAATTGTGTAATTAGATTTAACGGCAATTAATCAATGCTAAATATCTTGAATGTCAGTTGGTGTTAAAAAGACAAAAGCAATTAGCTCTTTGCTGGCACTTTGACATTCGTTGTGGGGAGAATCGTTCGCATAAATAGCCAAATGACCAATTAGAGATGAGCGGAAGCAATGAGATAAGCGCCGCGGCGATAAGCTTGAACTACCGGACGAGAATATCAACGTACTTGGCACTGAAGTATTGGGCACTTTAACTGGACTGCCCCACCAGTCGTTCTGCAATTTACTGTAATTAAACTGCTTGCGCGTACGCTGGGCCGCTCCCGGAAACTTCTTGAGGGCGCATTCGGCAATCCCGACGATGTCGGGCGGCTCCATGGGATTGCGCAAGTACACGTCGTCGATGTAAATTGGACTGCCCCAGCTCTTTCCGAACGGGGCCCCATGACCCGTGTGAATGAACGAGTTCTCCAGAGGCTTGCTAATGTCCTCGGCTTGTTTCTTCCTCATGGGATCGACTAGGCAGCGGGGAAATACACCCACCTGGTAGGTTCGTTGGTTCTGGCCCTTCCACCAGTAATTCTCCGGTCGGCCGTCGATTATGACGATCTGGTCGCCGTGCTCGATCATCATCTTCTCCGGCTCGTCGAAGCGATTTAAGGCTTTCATCACAGTCGGAACCATTCCTAATGCAAAAGAGTATCGACGTCTGCGTTAGAATGACACGTCGGAATAATCGGAAGTTCTATTTTAGATTTGAATTAGATTCGTCGTTATTGAATGACGATACTACGGTGAAATGAAATGAGTATGAGCGAGTGGAAAAAAAAAAGAAAAAAAAAAGAAAAGAAAAAAAAAAAACATTCTCCATAACAGTTCGCGCGAAAAAAATATTTTCAATTGGTTTTATAATATTTTGCCCGTAAGGAAGCATTACCCAGGCACGTAACAACTATGTTTCAAATATATTCTCTATCATTAATTCTCGGTGCGTCGTATAAGTAAAGGCAATATAAATCTAATCGGCAATTGAAAATCTCTTTCGCAAAAATCTTACTAACTCTAATAATTATTCCAAACCGTTATTGGCGTCAATTATTATATTTATTTATTATTATTATTATATTCGACAATTAATTATAATTAATTTTAAATTGCGCATTGTAAATCGTATAGGAAGCATTTAACAGCGAGCAGATGGACTAGAAAGGGTCAAGTGGAGGACTACGATGACAGGGACGGAAGATAACACGAGATAAGCTCACTGAGAATCGCCAAAATACGAAACCGTAATCTTTAACTTATTCGTTTGCGAAAAATGCACATAAGCCTGCGCCCGCGACATAAATGATGAAAGCGCGAGAAACAAAGGCGGCATTTCACTGCCTAACAAGCTCGAATAGTTCAAGGAATTTTCATTGATAGCGAGAGAAAGCCGAAACTATGAGATAAGCGAAAGTGATGGTTGTAGGCGGATCGTCGAGCATTTTGCATTGCTACACATTTCTAGAAGAGCTTTCTAAAATCCTTCTTTCCTCGTAATTTATAAATTTATAAATTCTCATTTTATTGCGGCTGAGTTCAATTTTACTCGTTTATCGTTATTGTAAATTTGGAATTTGGCTTAAGAGAGAAAAAAAAGAAAAAAACATAACAAGGTTACCTTATGTAACAATGATATTTAATAGAAAGTATGATCCGCCTAATTATCATTTAATCAAAAGCTCACCGTACGTAAGCCAATATTATGATTATATAATAAGAAAGGTGAGTTGACAGCATTGAAGTGAAAAATTATTTATTATAAATATTGGGGTCAACTTAACAAATGTACCACGCACAGTACAGAAAATCTTTATAACTATATAAGCTATTCCATTTTTTCTATTCAAATAAATACTTTGCTCTATTAATTTCACTCGAACTATATAAAATACATGTTTAAAGCATTATTTATAATAACGATGCCGAAAATTTATGAAGTAAAAAGTTAATTAAATTGAAATATCGCGTGAATTATTGGAGAGCCTCACTTCCTACAAATTATAATTATAAAAATTATGAGAGGTGAACATAGCGAGGCCATAAAGTGATAAGGAATTAACGATTTATTACAAGAAAATATGAAAGTTATGAATATTATATTTCTAGACTCGATCAAAGTTATCCAAAATATACCTCTACAATAAATATTTATATATCGCAAGCTTTTATCTTTTAAATATTATTCATTCAAAATGTTTCATATTTCCTTTCGTCAAGTTATGCGCTGTTCAAATATTTGCTAAGAAAAAAACATTTTTGTTTTATTTAAAAACCTCATTATTAATATTCAATTTGCGATGAAGGGTCACATTAACGATTATATGCAATTACCATATTGGAGTTTGTCTTTTTACTTTGTCAATTCTGACGTTAAAATTATTATCGTTAATGTGTAGTTAATGATTAATTTAATCATCGATTTAAAAATAAAAAAAAAAAACGAAACAAAACAAAACAAAAAAAAACAAAACAAAAAAAACGCAAGCTTTTTTGGACAAATCGGTAATACGGGCAGATCTGAAATTCCTAATTATTTCCCAATTAATAATGCTTATTTTTTAAACGAAGCTGTCACGATATTTGAAAAATCGCTGCATAGAACGACGCGCGTATCTTGGATTTTCGATTGTTCGAATGCAAAAGCGATGTTTGCGTAAATTTGATGCAACAGTCGCTGTCGAGATCTACTTCACCCGTCGAATAACAAACTCTTTCGGCAATCAAGGATTTAATCAAAATTACGCACACCTTCTCAACGACACGCAAAATCAATCGTTCGAACGACCCCATTCGCTTTATACACTTCTACACTCGAACGTCAAATTACTTTGTATCGATGTCTTTTATTTGCTACGATCCGATTTTCCTAACACAAATGAATATGTATAATCAGTCTTGGGTGCCTTCCGATAAATAAAGCAACGCACGGGCGACTTGTCTCTTAACATAAATTAGCGCGATAAGAGCCTACCGGTAAGGGAATCCTTCAAGGACGCGAAACTCGGGCGCTCGGCAGGATCCCTCGCCCAGCAGTAGAGCATCAGCTGGAACATTTCCGGGGGACTGGCTTCAGGCTCGTGGAGCCTCTCACCCTCCCTGTCGATCTTCCTCAAGATCTCGGAACCGTTGAGGCCGATCCAAGGCTCCTCACCGAACGTCAGCATCTCCCAAAGCGTCACCCCGAACATCCACACGTCCGAGGCGTGGCTGAACTGCCGCGCCTTTAGCGACTCCGGGGCACACCAGGGAAATGGCACCTTCTTGTGCTCCGTCATGACGTAGCAATCTTCCTGCTGGGGTAAGGCTCGCATCAGGCCAAAGTCGCCGATTTTGATTTTGTCAATGGAACTGAGGAGGACGTTTCGACAGGCGAGATCACGATGCAAGAAGCGTTTCGCCTCGAGATAAGCCATCCCCGTGGCTACTTGAAGGGCGTAGTTACAGAGAGTGAGGACCGAAATGTGCCCACATTGCTTGCGTAAGTAGTCTAGGAGAGCACCGAGCGGTGCTAATTCCGTTACCATCATCATTGGCTGAGAGAGTACCACACCATATAGTCTGGAAATGTAAGCCATTCAACGTTAGCACAAGATTATCTAGGCAAATTATTAAGCTAATCGCTTCGAATGGCTGAATTTTGGATATTAACGACAACTTGCCTTATGAGATTGTGGTGATCTAATGTGTGCATTGACTGTACTTCTGATACAAAGTCTTCGATAACATTTGGTTGTGTCAAAGCATCTGCTTTTAAGACTTTAACGGCTACCGGCAGTGTTCTTCCAGTTGGAGAAGTCCATTCGCCTCTTCTGACAACACCAAAACTTCCATCGCCCAATTTCACTGATAACGTGACATCCTTGTCCTGAATCAGGCATGTTAAGACAGAGGTATTTTCAGTAGGCTGAGAGGCACGTTTGTTGCTCTTCTTATCGCTTCCTGGTCTGATTTTTGTTATCAAGCTCTTTTTCCATTGCAGCGTACGTTTCTTTTTTACAGCATCCATCAATCGACGAATGCCTGGTTTACCAAGACCAATTTTCTCAAGATCCTCGGTTTGTACATAATCAAAATGGTGCAGTCGTGTGACCTGAAGGTCATCTCTAATTCTGGTAAAGAATTGAGAGAGTTGAACATCGTGTAGTAACTCCTGCAGCCACTCCGTGCCTTCGTCATCTGCCATGATGAAATACTTGGCAATAGCTTTCTTCTAAAACAGACGAACAGTGTATATAAATATTTGGTCAAATATGTCTGTAATATTAAATAAGAAATGAAAAACGTATAAAGATTCTTTTACAAAATGATGGATGATTTGTTGAATAATTTTTAAGACAATATCATCAAATTACTGTATTATGAAATCAAAACAATAAGTAAGGAATTTTCTTTTTACGCTCATGTAATGTATGTATTATTGTATTGCCAAACAAGCATCGCCGGAGGAAGGTCTATAACAGATAGAATTGATGCCTACCCACGATAGACATAAATGAATAATGAAAACACAAAATTCGATATTTATTACGTCAGAAAAATATTCGCATGTATTATTAACTTGATAGAGCAAATCAATATAATCGATGGTATTAAATTTTTTTTAGCAAGTCGTATATTGCCGTACATCATCATTGCGTATCGTTAATTACGAAGCGCAAACGACATTTTTACAATTCGAAACACGTGCTAAGAAACGAAAAGTCTCGTTATACACAAAGTCAAGTTGCAAGTGAAAGTACGGCTACTCCCTATATTACGACACTTAGGCTGATAATTAATTTTATTTTGTTCAATAATAAGATGTGCCAATAGAATCGAGGGATAAATACGCTAATGTCTTACACAGCCGAACATTAGAGAATTTAATCTGCGCGCGTATATGAAGAGATAAAGCATATTTCCATCATGCAAAGATCAATTTCACAATTCGCCGTACACAAAAGTGCAGTGACAAACGATATAATTGGAAAATCTGTAAGGGGAGATACATTGCTTGTATAAGACAGATATGCATGTGAGATTAACACGCGTACGTGTGCGTGGAGCGCGGGCGTATATGTCAAGTTGAGCTTCTATTAACAGACAATAGCTTCGAGACTTCAAGGCGATGGTAAATGTCAATATTTTTAATATGATAATCAATTTATTTAAAATAAAATATCATTAAAAATTATCTGCATAAAACTTGTTACATATGCATTAAAAACATCAAATTCTAACCTTTATCTTGTTACGGTCATTTTTCATCATTGAATAATAATTCAAATTATGAACACATTCTCTTATTACAATTGCTCTCGATAAAAACAACAACAACAATTATTACTTATAATTAAACTCTCGGATAATGCCATTAGATGACCAGACTATCAACAGTATAATTTCTTTAAAACTTGTCACCTTCTCTTGAAGTGACATATCTTTCGCGCCTCGACTACTTAACCATCCACCTTTTTCCTTTTCATGATCTGCTTCACGAACCGCGAATACGGGCCAAGGATCGACGTTAATAATAATCATCATAACGACGAAACACGCTCATTAACGAAACAGCTGCGCGAGTAGAGAGGCGAACGAAGATATAAAAAAAAAAAACATAACAATTAATCGAAGGCCATAGAGAAGAAAATGTGTAGAAGACTTAGGAAAAATAATGTGCATAGTATTCCTAAACAATGAGAGAACATTTCCAACCCACTGCTTGTTCGAATACAAAAAAAAAGGAATATCATATCACTTTACAAGCAGATAATTAAACTATCCGTCATTCTGTCCAACATTGACAATTTTCATGCGCAATGAACTGTATATTAAAATTTTAATTGACAAAACACTCTTTGTATTCTTCATGACTATAAATATTTTCAATCTTTTAATTCATTTATAATATAAAAAGTTCTGGATTAAGTAAGCAATAATATGCCTGCTATTTAAATTAATTATTTCATATTGCGTACATTAAAGATACATTAAGATATGCCAGATTTAGTGATACAATTTTATTAATTAAATATTTTTAAAAGCCTTTATGCGTGGAATTACAATAAAGCCAATAGAAACAATAGAATTAACTTCTTAATTGGCTGCCGTACAAAAATGACTATCAATAATACCAAATATTGTTGGTAATTCAAAGTCAATATTTACCAACAGTTAAACTATTGTTACAATGATTATAAACTTCAATAACAATTCTTATCCAATAAACGACGTACATGGTTTATTATAAAGCAAATAAGCTCAGTATTTGACGGCAAAAATTAAACGATTTATAAATATTATTGTCAAATTCAAAAAGACATACAATATTAAAATACTGACAAGCGTGCTGGTTCGTTGAAACTTCAGTTACATATACTTGATTTATTAGCGCAAGCTCAGCCCACTTATGTCCAGTTAACAAACAAAATCAATATCAAACTGCACAAATTTACAAAGAAGATTTATCGATGCATCAAAGATTCGTCGTTCAAATAATTTCTTAGCTATTCAGCTTTCAACATCTTTCAAAATGTACATGCCTCAATTTGACGGTAAAACTATTTGCTTATATTTGTTGACGGTGTTAAGTATCCTACGGGCCAAAAAGCTCAAAAAGCAGAGCACACACTCTACCTTGTCTTTAAAGCTCACAGTCCCAACAAAATCAAACAAATTGACAATTACCTGTGCAGTGGAGGGCCTCCGACTCTTCTCAAATCATGTCTCCAACAGCTCCACACTCGCACCAATAACACACACGATTACAAAAGAACTACCAGGCACAGGCGCACTCCGTAACTCGTATCTTCGCGAAAAAAACACGAAGAACAAACGAGGATGAAGAGCGAGCTAGTGAGTGAGTGAATTAGTTAGCGAGCCAATGGACGAAAAACAGAAAGAAAGAAATAAAGAAGGAAGCTAAGAAGGAATGAAGGGAAGAAGGAAAGAAGAAAGAAGAATTGAAGGAAAGAAGGAAAGAACAAACGGGCGCGCGCGCGTTAGTGTGCATGTGTGTAAGTATGGCACGAGAGAAAGAGAGATAGAGGGGTAGCGAGTGAGGGAGGGAGTGAGTGAGTGAGTGAGTGAGTGAGTGAGTGAGAGAGACAAGACGGTTACAGAGCTCGTATGTACGGGATACAAAGCGGACTAGCCTGTAGGATTTTTTGAGCGAGCGTTTACTCCCCGCCGATGATGTATTTTATAACTCTCTGGACGGAGTAGCGGGCGCTCGACTTTCACCCCACGATTTTCTCGCGTTCCACCAGCTGCAGAGAGACATCGTCTTCTCACCCTCCTCTCAATTAAGAACCGTCTCAGCTCAGGAACCGACGTACACGCTAACTCTCCACTTCCCGTAATCGAGAACAGCAG